AGAAGATTTCTTTGTGGTGGGAAGGGCCGTAGATAAGGATTCTATCGATTTCTGACCCAGTGACCGAGATCGGCGCGCTTTGACAAACGGCGGGGGCGTTTAGAGTGACAAATTGCGCATCGCCGCTGCGGATTTTCGTATAATTTACCCTAGAACGTCGCCACTGGCAAAAGTTCAACGATATACAGGGTCGAAAGCAACACTGTTGCTCGTTTCTGAAACCGTCTGCCAAGGAGACCGCCCCGCCAGCGGCTACGACAATCGGAAACGCGTGTTCTGCGGGCGCACGCGAGCGAAAAAACCGGATCGACCGGACAGGTGGCTACCTGTCCCGTGAAATTGCACGTAACACAGCGGCCATTCCGGTTCGTGTATCTCGATTTACTAATTACGCCAACTAATAACTTAATTTGCACGCGTTCGGAAACTCGTAACCGAGACCGTCCCGCGTTAACGGCGATGACGTTAAAAATTTACGACGAACACTTCTCTCTCAATTAAACGAGTCAAATGGTTGGTAATAATCAGACGTGATTGAAATTAATTTTAGTTGTTGTTATTACTGTGTATACTCGTAACGTCAACGTTTGGTAAGTCTACTCCACTTGATAATGGTTAAGATGGTAATGATTAAGCTCATACATTGTCCGAAAATAACAACCAAACTAGTGCGTCCTTTGAAAAGTGCTAGGAGAAGGATTACAGCTGTACTCCAAACGAATATGCAAGTGTTGAAATAAGATTCATCAAGCCAATATCCCGCTTCCAGCGCGGTCATCTTTATCGGAACGCGAACCGAGGATAAATCCGGCGAAGACATATATCGGACTTAACTCGGTGTAATCCGACAAATACGAACACAGTGGCGAACGTTTACGGTAAAAAGGCAGCGCCATCGTCTCGGAAGCCAACCAGAAAGCGATGATCTCGTCGTGCGGAACGGTCCAACGGTCGTCACAACCGTAAAGCACCAGATACAACAAGGGGAGCTCGCGGCGACGATGGCCGCTAAATCGCGCGGGCATCAAAGTCGATTGGATAATGTAGTCGTTACCACGCTCTAATCCTGGCCCGCGGCGTGTTTTACGAACCGTTTTATCCGGTGCTATCCGCCACCTAATAAATTCTCGACTTTCGACGATTCCCACCGGCGGTTTCCTCCGCCCGCGGTCCCGGTGCTCGCGAAAGGGAGACAGGAACAGGATCGAAGGGGACGAGCAAGAGAGAGGGACGATTGGCGGCAACATCCTGCATCGCCGAACAGTTTGGGACTCGATTTACGACGTTCCGTGTCGTGGCTACGACAGAGGGTGTCAATTTGCGAGCGAACAGGCGCGAACGCTCGGCTTGTTCTCTCGCAAATTAATATACGCGTCGGGAAACCGAGCCGCGTTCGATCCAAGGGGTCGTCGAATGGGAGAAAAATCGACTAATAGGGCCACCCATCGACGGGGGACGGAAGACGACCACGGTCGAGATCAGACGAACTGGTTTCTGCCGCGATCTCGTGCCCTTTCTTAAACGAGGACTGAGCAAACAAGAGTGGAGGCTCGATGACGTGCCCCTCGGGTTCCCCTACCGGGTGGTCCAACCTTTCAGGGGGGAATCCAACCTTCGCATCTTGGTACCTTGCACGTTGGAGTCTGTACATCAATTAGCGTGGACCGAATCTACCCAGGGTTTGATCGTTTCTCCGCACTGTAATTTGATGGGAACGCTTCTAACTGCGTAATGGGGGGTTCGATTCATAAGTCTCGGATTTCCCGTTATAATCGACGTGCTTACCCCAAGTGACTAAAGGATTCTTCGATGCTATGTTATCTGACCCATTATAGGGATGAATTGTACATACCTTTGGATACAATCAGGGGAAATTTATCGAAAGGTGCTTTTTCAGAAGCGTTGATGCCAAATATGGCAAGATTTATTTTAATAAGAGCAACGTATAATTCTTTTGCGAAACAAAGCACTTGAAATTCCCCATCCAAATGAGTGCTACTTTTTAGTCGATCGTTTCCCTCGAGGTATCGAGCCGAAGTCAGTGACCCAGAAAATGTAATCGCGTAACCATTGCGCAACATTCGTTTTCCAGTAATGTTAAATAACACCGCCACGTACACATCCCCCTATAGCGAATGGGTAAAAAGATTGATTCCTGAATTTTTACATAGTTTGGCCGATCGTCCGCCCTCCGCGCGATGTTTCGATTTTTATCCGTGCTCTTCGCCCGTGGAACTTCGCTGAAATTGCTCAAGTTCCAGCGGAAAGGGACAGAAACATCGCGATACGCGTCTCGACGCTTCGAAAGTCGTTTTTCCCCAGAAACGCAGTTTTTGAAACTTTCAGATATATTGGGAAAATCGTACGACATGTTTGTCCTGGGATTTCGGGCGAAGTTGGAAGCACCGTTCCGAGCAACTCCATCGAGATCATCGAAGTTCATTCGACGGATGCTCTCCGTGGAAAGTTCCAAGTTCTTCCCCTTTTTCAAATATATTAAACGACTCGCCAACATATGGGGAGAATAAAGCCAACCGTTTTTTCGCTGGCGTTTTTCTTTTTTTTTTTTTATCCGTCGTAAAGCAACCGTGATTAATCAGACAGGTCCTCGTAAACGCGGCTCGCTAATTTTTATCCGCGCTGAACACCGAAGATCCCCTTGACCCTTTGACTGCAAAACGGCGCATATTTCCGTCCTCGAAAATTGAGCTCAGAGAAATTTTTAAATTCGTCGAATCAAATTTTAAAAAACACAGCATTTTCTTAATATTTACAGTGTATTCATCCGACGTTTAGTTTCAAAAATAAACATTATTTATGTCCGACGAATAAACTGTGAATAAAAAGTTTTGAATAAAAGTCTTGTCATTCTCTGTATAAGGTGATTGATATTTTGTTTAAATTCGAATGTTCGAGTGACGCGCTCCTTGGAATTTCCAGCAGAAATCATCCCGCAGTCAAAGGGTTAACGAGCTGATATCGTCGAAGCGCTGGGGTCCGCTTACCTTTCCGCGTATTCAAAACTCCATTAATTAATGCACCTTTAATTACTTCGCACGCTACAACCTGTTACACGGCGCCCCCGATCATTTTTACGACGCGTTCATTAAATGATTCGGTTACAGCGTCCCCCGAGCGTGCCTGGCGCGCGAAATTCCCCCGCAATTAAGGTAAGTGCGCCAAATTTCGACGTCAATCCAATTTATTTCGATGATATGACTGTTTACGGTTTAGTGGAAACATGTTTTCTTTTATTTGTAGTAGTTAAGATTGTACTTTTGAGATAATCTAACATCTTCGATATTCGAAGATAGAAGAAGCATAAAAGAGTATCGCAAAAATTATTTCAAGGATCAATCGTTCTAAAAATCGTAGATTTTACGTTTTCGAAATAAACCGTGGCTCTGATTACAATGTCGCTCTTTTATTTTATAGCGGTCATCGTACTTCCCCAATTTAATGTAAATGTACACGAATAACTGGAACGTTCACCTCACGACGAAACGAACAATTCGCCATAGGAACAGAAAGCCACACTTTACACAAACCGTGCATAATTGGGGACAATAAAAATAACCCACGCGGACTGTTTTCCCGACAGTCTTCAATTACGCCGCTTCGAGATTAAAGACTATGGTTGTGCATGAAAAGCACGGACAGTATCGAAAGGTACCAATCTCACTTTTGCAACTATGGTCGCCTTACGTAAGAATTCGACGTGGGTAACCTCGAATTTTACCATAATCACAACCTGCAATCGTATCGTGACAGATATCGATTACTCACGGGCTGAAAATTCCGTTTTGAAATCATTCGTTCTTTCCAATGTGTTTCGCGAAACTGTGTCAGTCGTTGACACGTAAAACTGTGTCGTTTTTTCCGCTTCGAATGAATAGAATTTAACAAATTAAAGACACCACTTGCTTGCGTTTTTTATTCAGAGACTTCAGCATAAAAAAAAAAAATGAATATTTCTTTATGAAAGATATGTCAAACATTGGATCCTTGCTTGCCAATATTTAAGAATAAATAGAACGTAGGTCTTGGAGGCATTTTACATTCACTGAATACATTCACATGAAAATTTTTAATCGTATTATGTAGTCTTCTTTAGATGTACAGATCGGCATAAAGCATATATATTTTTCTTCAAATGTACGTAAATAAATATGAGGAGTTTGAAGAAGCTGAACTCGATGATATTTTAATAAGAAATTCACATCACCCTTTTTCGATATTCCAGAATGGAAGATGCCCTTAAGTAACAAAATAAAATCTGAAATTCATTGGAAATTGATGAAAATGATTAAAAATAATTCTTTGTCGTTGTTTGTTTCACAATTCCGTACCAAATTGTATCTACTGCGTGATCAACGTGAAACTTGATTGAAAGTACGCCAAGACTATTATCCGTAGCCAAAAGGTTTACCGATCAAACGGAAGGTTGTCACAAACTTGAAAAAGTGTTACCTCAAATATAATATGGAACTGTCTATTTGTATTTCAACCGGGTATACATGACATCGCTATCGACAATATTGTCCGATTACACGTGTTCCCGAGATAAATCCATTTGTAGATTGAAACGAGTCATCGCGTAGAAGTAAACAAGATTGCTGTTCAAACAGAGCGGAAGAAACCAGTAGAATAAACAGAAAGTAACGTGCTAGAAGTTTGCCTAAGAATCCATTTAAAGAAATGAAAACCGAAAAGCATTGCTCGGTGTTCGGTTAATGTGCAAAGGCCAATTTCATTAATGCAAGCGTCCGAACATTGAAATATCAAACTCCTGGAAAAGTACATTTAATTGTTAAAATAAACACTATATAGTCATCGATTCGGTATGAAATTTCTTGCGTCAAGAAAACTGTCTTGAGACTAGGCATAAACTCGGTATAAAAGGAGATAATAAAATTCTTATCTCGTGTTTGGCTGTTGAACTAATTAATTAAGAGGTTATCAAGTGGGTTTTATATTTTGTAACTGCTATGGATGTTTCCTTTTTTTTTTCTACTCGATGACATTTAATTACTATATCAATGTACAGCTTTAATTGTAAGTAAAATATTTGCATGTCAGATTCTTCAGATTCTTAAAATTAACTAGCATGTCGCCTCTTTACTTGCCAATAACAGTTCTTCAAAGCGAACACTCGTTCGGCCACGCTCCATCGTAATTTGCGCGTTCGTGGCGTGCTTATTTTCAATTAACATACAGCACGCATTACTCGACGACCGTTTTCATTCATTATCCAATCACCGACACGGAACCAACCGACGAACAACAACGAATAACTAGTCGTCACTCGAAGCCCGGACGCCGTCCATCGTCATCGTTAATTCAACCCAACGTCGCGTCGATGTGCGTCAAAAAGCGAATACTCGTGGAAAGAATAACGCTCCCTAAAAGTGTTCAAAGACATACTCGACCTCAAAAGCGCCAGAGAAATTACATTCGCACCGTAAACCCAGTCCATTCACTATTCCTAACCAGGTAAGGTGATTCCTCACTCGAAGTACAGACAAGCAATAGACGATAAGATTCCCAGTAGCAGCGATCCGATGGATCGAACCGCTCGCAGTCCGAAGGGCGTGTCGAGCGCCGTCGGACATCGTTATTAAGCGCATATAAATTAGCATATAAATTGTCTCGCGACCGACGGTCCGCGAGAGCCCGTGTCTCTCTAGCTGATCGTCCGCTCTCCGTTCATCCCAGCGCTACCAAAACGCTCGGCTAGACGACTCGCTCGCGCCGGCTGTACAACTACGCGTGCTCGCGTTCGTGTTGACTTGGCTTCCGTCTCTGTTCCACCCTTTTTCAGCTTCCTGTCGTTGTCTCTGTTCCCCGCGACAGAGACCCGCGCACGGCTCTGCATAATCCGTGGAGCTACCTACTATCCTGCGCCGACCGATAGCGCCGGCGTTTCGTGCCACCCCTGAAATACACGTTGCCGTCCCTAACCCCCGCCCTCGCGACTCCGCCGTCTGAATGCTGGATGGGAGCCACACAATGCCAGCCGCCCACGTACACGCACACACGGCCGCCTCATCAAGCCACAATGGCGGCCATTACCGATGCAACGATTTACCCTCTCTTGTCCGCGCACCCTTGCCACCCCCTTCGGCACTAGCCGACGTCCTCGTCCTTCCACCCTCTTGTCTTTCCCGTCGCGCTCCTTTCCACGCGATTCGCCGTCTTAAGACTATTGTCTAGACTCGCTCGACCACCGATCCACCCGGAAAGTAACGTCCACTTTAAGATTACGGAGTTTCGGTATGGACGATGGCGACGTTAAGGACTTGGTGCTTGGGAAGATTCGTGCTGGGGGTGGTTGTTGGTCGTAGCGACGATCTGGAACTGAATTGTTTAGTCGAGCCTTTTCGGGGATTGTCCTACTTGGTCGCCATAGAAGATAAGGTTATCCCTGCATAATAACTCCTACACCTCCATACTCTTTTTTGCTAATTTCTTTCTTTCTTTTTTTTTTTTTTTTTTTTTTTTTGTTATATCTTAAACTGTCCTCTACTGTCGAATTCAATCACTCTATTGGTATAATACTTAGCACGAACTGCTTTCGAAGAAGTGTCCTCGCCAGTTGATCTCTACTCGACTACGGGCAACTACGGCGCAAACGTGACTTTTTCATCCTGTCTTCCTTGCCTCGTTCCGCTTCTTCTACTTCCCGCTTTTGGTTCTCGGGATTTTCTTCTCGCGCCCGTACCAGGCTCGGTTTACCGTCAAACTTCCCAGCTCCCCCGAGTTGGTGCACGCCGCGCAGGTTGAACATGGTTGAACTTCTCGGCGTACGAGTGCAACGAGTTTCTCCTTCGTGTCCTATGTCGACGTAGACGATATTCGCTGTCGTATCCATACCGCGCCTCGCTCCTTGAGCTTTACTGCCATCGAGCTTCGTGACTGGGAACTCGAACCTACGCTCCTGTGGATTTTCGACTACGAACGGAGAGGAACGATCGTGATTCCTTCCGTAGGCTCTAATTTTACACCCAGAAGCGTTATACAGCCGCGGTTCCGCGCGTTAGGAAGGAACTTATTACATATAACTTTCGGATGACCCGCTCCACGTTTCCGAGGAAAGTGAAACGCTTTCGTGGAAGATTTATTCGTTCCTCGAATCGACGAGTGCTTTGGCGAATGTCTGGTCCAGTCTATATCCTTATCGATTTTGTCACGAATTGGTGACAGAGGAAGATGAAAGTCCAAGATTCGACGATTACAATTGTTTTTGAACGTGATTAAGTTTCGACTGTTTGTTTCTGGATGTACATGATTTCCCAAGATCCGCATTCGGTTTTGTGTTCAAAAGAAATTCAAAACAAAGAATTACTGTACTGCCTACAAGAAACAATGTTTCGATGAACATGCACTTGATCTACAGTTGCGGATTTCAAACCGTAGAATGGGTACCACGCGCAGCTCAGATGTTTGCGCCTAAGGGATACATTCGACAACAACGAGACATACCCACGCTACATGCCGCAGCCGCGCTTTGACGTTCACAGTCCTAATTGGTAGAATACACGCGACCAATGACATTCTACCATTTGAATACCCGGTGTCGTTCGTGTAACTGTAGTGGTATCCACAAGTTTCGTGCTACTAAGTGTACCCCTGAGGCGTAAACAACTGGGATGCAGGATGAAACGCAAGGAACTCGATATCGGGTGTTTGGAAGATGTCAAGCAAATACGCCTGCACAACGATATCCGCAAGAACCAATTCAGTTTTAATGACTCCCGCACGCGCGGGGAGTTACTCTACCTATGTAATTACTTACGCCGCACGTTTCGAACCGGTTATTCAGATTCTAAGAAATGCAACACGGTTGAAGGTTAAAATGCAACACGAGGGCTCGAAGACGAAATTGCAACTTACGGTTTCAGGCATGGTTGGACTGTAACGAAATGTGTAATGTCTGCAAGCGGAACTGCTGCCGGGGTGGAACCCGAGAATTGGTTATCGTACAAACCTTTGGGGAGAGGGTAACCGTCATTATATTTGATTGGTTACGTACGAGCAGAGTGACTGTCTTCTTCTGGCTAGAACTCTTTAAAGATTCACGTTGTTACTTTGTTCATTGATTTGAGATTGTTAGATGAGATATTAGATTCTTCTAAAAAGTTCGAAAAATTGGAAACAAAACTTTAACTTATCAAATAACGTGAAACACAGAAAATTGTGAGAAATGAACTTGCCGATATGATTTTCATATTCATGCTCGCAACTCCGTATCTCGTTGACACGTTATCACAATTTGGGACACGGTTTAAAAATCACGAGAGGAACGGTGAATCAATCGGGGGGTGGAGGTGGGGGGGGGGGAGGCAGCCCGCGAGGAAGCGGAGAAAGGCGAGCAACGATAGCGAAAGAAGGAAAAAGCGAAAGAGCACGCCAGAAAGGGGTTGGCGGGGGGTTGGAAAACTGTGGAGCAATTCAAAAGTTACCCACAGCTCGCGATGGATAATTATTTATCGCCTTATCAAACTTTTATAATCCCGATGCCAGGCGGAGAAGGGTCGCGCGGAAAGTAGCGTGGATCAAGGCGGTGGTGTAAAAACGACGAGGATCTATACCGGTTCGCATCGGCCAACTTTTTAACGAGTTTTTAAACGTCATAAATGATACCGACGCAAAGGATCACGGGCCCCGGAGTAAAGTGGATACCGTTTCCCCGCGTCTCCGCGCCTCTGGCCGTCGGTTTTTCCCTCTTAACACGTGATGAATTTTTATCGCGTCGTTTCCCGCCTGGTTTACGATTCGCGAGACGTCGATAAGTCGCGCTCAAGCGCGCTTCGGGCGGGAAAAAATCGAATTTTTTTTTTCGCCGCCTCTCCGCCCGCACCTCTGCCGTGGTTCAAGCGCAACGAACGAATAGCGAGGGGTTTACATGTTTGCGCAACAGAAATTATCGAGCCGGTGTACGTGACTCTTTCGAAATCGTAACGGGACACCTGCGCGTTGGAAAGACCAGCGTTGTTCTGAACTGGAGACACGGCTGCCGATAAATATCGATAATTCGCGGCGAGCAATGCGCGTTCTAATGATAAATTAACGCGAATATGCAACGCGACACGTGTAGTTTAACATGCACTTAGCGTAAACGGCGTGGCCTCTTTCTTCGACCTCTACGGTTGGCCAAGAGAATGCTCGCGCGCCTCAGGTGAAAATACTGGGAATCGGTAATTTCTACTCGGGGACGCGTTCGTGTCTACCTGATAATACTAGTTCTAAACGAATTATTGTTAAGCTAATCAGGTATTGGTACAATAAGACGGTACTAGATCCACGTGTAGAGTTCTAGCAGGATGCAAAGTGGCCTAAGAACCAGGGTTCTTTTACGTTGATATCTGAACAGGAGAGTTACACGTGTAATATAATTTAAATGGTTACGTAAGGGAAATCCAATTATTTAATCCGGAGCAGTGATGAGCAACTTTCGGTGATCGTTAGCAGCATCCGTATGTTAAAGAGGTCCAATAACCGGGACACGTGAGAACGCAAAAGGATAGGGGCAGGGGGGATGCGTAGAAACCGCGTGAAGGAGAACAAGTGTAAAAAGACCGTGCGTTAAATAAGAGAATTAATCCGCCGGTTGCCGAGCGAGGCAGCTTTTAGACGGTTTAATTGATGTTAAACTGCATTCCCCCCGGGGGCCCCGCGGCGCCATAAAATTTCTCTGGACGGACGTATGAACCGTTCGCTCTTTTGTTCTCGTTTTACGGTATAATTTCGCGACCTGCCGACCGCAGATCCCCTCCGCGCCATAATCCGGCGTCGCCCTCGGTGTACTCGCGCGGCTACGAGCGTCGCTCGCTCGTAAACCTAGCCTCGAACATTCCCGACACCGCGAACGCGTTATTTTTATCATTTTCAGGCCGAGGAAACAACCACCGGAGCACGTCGGGACAGATTTCGCAAAACGTGGCTAAAATTCAAACTCGCATTACTAAGGTTGGGGTTCATCCCTTGGTACCGTTGACGTAGAGTCTACGCGGTAGACGTTTTTCTCCGCGCGTTACAGGGTTCAAAGTGTCGAACAAGTATCAGGGATTGGTAGTCGTCCGTAACGATTGATGGGACGATGGCTAATCACGGCAGAGTTGCGTTTTAATTGACCGAGTACACGTCCGTGACCATAACAACGTCACCGACTCGTTCGTACGATTCATGCTCGACGATCGAACGTAGGTCACGAAACGGTGAACGCGCCATGGCGCTCCTAACGACGATCGTTTCTCCTTCGTGGCGATATGGATCCCAGTACGAGCTGCCCGTATTTTCCAGGAAGCCTGTCGTCGAACAGCCCCGAGTTAGTTTGCTTTACGCGAGGAACACTCGCGCACCCAACTCGCAATTAACAAAAATCTTCAAACAGGCCTGTCGCGTACGAAAAATCAAAATCTCGAGAGTGCCGAGTTTTCTCTCGGTCGAGAATACGCGCGCAAAGTGAATCAAGTGAATCGGACCCTTGGCAAGTTTCGCGTTCATCGCAGAGTCCGATCGACTTCCACGGCCAACATCGTCGGCCTCCGATAACCTACGAACTCCCCGGTCCTGCCACAGGCGCGGTAACTTTGTTCCAGGAAGTTCTTCCCCGCAGTTGTAGATCACCTGATTTTCGCCTGGAAAGGTCGCTTAAAGTAAAAGTGGCCATGAAGGATTCGGTGACACGTTTCTCGAGCGCTCTCGAATCGAATATCTCGCATCGTCCGTTTGGTACGCAACGATCGCAGTAAAGAACCCAACCAGGGAGCTTGTAACGCCGACTTAACGATCGTACGGTTACGATTTATCGTCGTTTACTTGGAAAGTTCTACGCGATTGGGTGTTTAATGAAATTCGAGTTACGCCGATGGCGAAGCAGACTTTTATTGCGGCAGATTGAAAACGATTCTAAGGAAGATATAAAATCGGCGTCCCCCTTGGTCGCTGACGTATATGGGTTAGCCTCCGCTTGCATAACTCCGACCATTAAGTTAATTTATCGAGCGATTCCGGCGATGCATCGTCGGTGCGTGTAATTTACTTCCAATCTTCGTTTGATTTCTTGTTGAGCATTCTAGATCGGGCCGATATGTCATCGCGGACGTCGGCCACGTGAAGTTATGGAGCACGATGAAAATGATTCGCGAGCTACGCTATCGACGATAACCAGATGGGTTCCTGGCCCGCTGGAATCGTTAATTGTAGACTATTTCGCTAATATTCGTAAAAAATGATGTAGTATTAGAATTCAAAGCGTAAAATAAAGAAAAATTAAGCGAAATTATGTAAATTGATGTCTATTTTTTTATGGAAGACAAGCATGGAATATCGTTATTTTTTCACAAATTTCAAACCTCGATACAATGTGTCAAACGAAATTTTTATATTTACTAACACCACCACCGATATCGTTTCATGCATTCATCCCCTGAAAGTTCCTGGATAATTCGAACTCCAATAACACAAAATTACACGCAAGCAAAATTCACTGCGAACCTCTGCGAAGGGAGCGTTCAGCAAAACCCGCTTTCGAAAATCCGTTTATTCAAATATCTCCGAAACGCTGGGCTCAAAAATAAATTCAAAGATGCGATCAAACGTAATCCGATATGGGGCGTTAAAACGGTACAGATCATGCCCGACCAATGATTTACAGTTTTACAATAAATCGAGTCCAAAATAGCGGGCAAAGGCAAACGGTGCAGCGACTAGTAGATCTTTTTTCTGATCATAGCAATCGATTCGGAATGAACTGCGAATATACGCGAAAACCGAGTAGTTGCAAAACTGTTAACGCCTGAAAGCGTATTCAACTTTTTGTCGGTGTCGCGCGACTCGATGCTCGCGCCAAAGCCACCGATAGAGAAAGAGCCTATGCACGATCAGAAAATATACAATACCAGCGGATTGTTCGATCGTGATGATCGAGTTTTCGTGTCGCCGTGTTTTTCTTGCTCACGCGGTCAGCTGTATAGCTGGGAGCGTAAGTGTTGCGTTCAGAGGGGACTGAAACGCAGTGTTAACTAACTAAAACTCAGTTTTTTATCTATGATATTTAAAATAACATTTTTATTATAAATTAACACTGCATTCCGAAAAGGAACTTGTTATACGCTTCCATTACATTTCATCGTAATTTTCCACGTCCTTCCCCGAAGAACAGAACGACCACCTCGAACGCGCCAACAGGATATTCGAACGCAACACGGTAGCCAAGTGCAGTCCCACCGCGAAAAGGTATTGCATTTCCATAGATAAGTTAACGATAACTTGTTCCGTGCAATGTTTCGAATGAGATTCACCGTCGACGAGGGCGAGCGGACACGAGAGAAAAGGAAGTCTCATCGCCTCGCTGAAACTATGTTTATCGTCGCTTACATAACCGTGCAACATCGCTGTTCCGTGCTCCACGTGCGTTATTCCTTCTTTACGAGCCCGTTCCCTGGCCGCAGCGATTCTCAGAGCTGGCTGTGCGTTAAACAGAGCCAGCCATATTAAAATCCGATGGCAAACACTCGTTTCGGCCGGGAGGCATCGACACCGTCGGTGGTTGCTGTTAAATTACTTCCGTGACGTTTAGAAACATCAACGAATGAGAATCACTGCCGCGACAGCCTGTTTGCCAGCCGCAGTAGGTGGCTTAATGAAGAAAGGAAGCTGAATCTCATTAGTCTTCCACGAGGTTGTCTACGCCGCGACCTGCAAACAACGAGATCCTTCCGTTCCAGTATTCGTCGCGTTTAGTATTCCATCTTTGCGTCAACCGTCACCGAGGGAGTCGAATTTCGAGTGGCCTTTTTACCTAATGCTCTTGCCTTGTTTCGCGTATCCGCTATACTAGAATTTCATCTTAAGGTAAAACGTATGGATTGCATATTTAAATGTACGTACTCGGTAGGAAGCGATGATATTTAAACGATACTAATTCTCGTTGCAATTAAAATACATAGAGCACTTCATAATATACGCGTAGAATGAGTGAAAGATAGAATAAAATTCATGGAAAACGTATCGTGTTGCATACAAACTATCTCAAAAATGTTACTTGTTAGGTAAATCACGAGACACGACTGTCAATTCCGTTGAATTCAGCGTTGTCCGATCGTCGTATATGTATGGCTGTATAAACATTCACGCGTTCGAACCGTTGAATATCGACATTTCTGAATCACTGCCTCTACGAGCTGAATTCAACGTTTACTCGTAGTTTGATCCGGCGTTCTTTATATAAACAATCGAACGATCTTGTCGTATTGGCAGAGGGAAATGCAAAAACGCGAAGAACCGAGTCATTCGTACATGCTCGCGACGGCGAAGCGGTACGTACGATCACGTGACGAGTCGAGTATGGTGATTAGTCCAGCTTCGAACACGAATACTTCTCGTCGATTATCATGCGAACAGTATCGTGTAATTCTGAATTCATAAATAGACGTGAATCGTTGCATATGGATAGGGGATACCTTTGGCTGTGCGAGTCAACCTGAACGCGTGGACAAAGCTGGAGTTACGCTCGGTGCAAAAATTACTCTGATTAACTTCTTCAACGCGCGAAACGATCGGTATTGCGTGTAGCGGTGACTCGTGGTAGCTGGATTTCATTTGACGATCTTCTGGTAAAGTGAAACGAACTTTTTGTACTCGAATCGTATCTATACTATAGAAAAATTATGTACCTTAATGTACCTGCATGTGTGAATATTAAATTGATAGAGAAAAAAAAAAATAAAAGAACCGTAGGTCGGTGTTACTTATCATAGATAGTGAAAGGCTTTTAATTCATATAGGTGAGAAATGGAGTGCGAATGGAACAGGTGGTTAATAGCACTTATCTTAAAGCACTAATTTCATCTACTTACGCGACCGTCGCGTTATTCTAAAGTCATGACTGCTTGTGAATCGTTGCGTGTGCGTACGACTCATTGTGCAAGTCAACCTTAACGCTCGAACAAAACTAGAGTCATGTTCGTAACAAAAATTATTGCGATTAAGTTGTACGTCGTGCAACGTCTTCAGTACTCCATGGAGTGAGATTGACGAAACAAAATTTATGTACCTTGACCATTACAACTTGCAATTCATGAATATTGAAGTGAATAAAAACTTAAAGAATACAGATTTGATTTGATTTATTACAGTAAACAAAAGGCCACTTTTTTAATTCGTATAGAAAGTAAAATGTAAACGGAGCAGGTGGATATTGGAATTTTTCTCAAAGTATAATACCGATTCCTTCCACTATAAACAGAACCATTAGCGTGTAATAAGCGACTTTGGAAGAAATCAAGACTTCATTAACGTCGAACGCGAGATACCAGGCTACATGCTCAAGCCGCTATCGGCTTATCTGGTTGATTTTAAATCGAGATAATGCGCGAGAATCAAGCTCGCCTCGAGGCTCCACTTACCCTTCCATTCCACCCTTCGTGTTTCGGCTGCAACGGTATCCGCCATGGAAACACCGGTAAAATATTAAAGCGCGGCAGTCAACAAACCCCGTCCGAATAGAAACAATACGAATGAAGATTAATATGTTTGCGATGCGATCGAGTGCTTCGCGATGTCTGAATAATTCAATAAATTTAAGGGTTTATTTTTCACCATGAACTGCTCGAAAACTTCCGAACGAGAAGCAAGTGAGAGCAACGTTACACGAACACTGGTGGAAAATGTAAATACAGAATATTCGTTATACATTACGCGGGAAGTAAATATTCCGTGTTCATTGAATATTTTAAATATTCATTATGTGAAATTGAGAGCAATAATTTGAAGAATGAAAATTTCAAGAACAAAGATGCACCTTTGAGCATGAGAGCAATTTGTTTCAATTTTTACGTACAATATTTTTCGACAGATGTAGAAACGTATACTCGTAGCAACATTCCTCCAGAATTTAGGGATCGTTGTGACCCTATTAGGTCCTCAAGCTGTGAGCGAGTGGAAGATAATCCCAGTATTTCAGCAGCTGCAATCTAAACAGCTTTGGGACACCGTATCGCTGCGGTCTTAGAAAAAGGGCTCAAGAATAGAGATAAATTGGAATATCTCGCACCTAAAAAACGCTACTATCGCTTGGGAATATGCATCGACACATTTATCAAACACTATTCTTAAAATTTCTGTTGGTTGAACGAATACTCAAAATCTTAATCTCTTTTATAGATAGGGACGCGAAGTAGCCCGATATAGAATTTTATCGCTATCTTTGAGACGTGTGTAAACATTGCATATTTTTACTAGAATAACATCAGTAGTGTAGATAAAATTGATTGCAGGTATAAGTATTTTCATTTTTCATTCTCGACCCTCCCGCGCCATTTTTAGGTCGATCCGACTAATCGTCTCCTGAAATACTTTCCGCATGCACACACTCGCCACGGCGCATAATCACAGAAAATGATCTGCATCTCCTCGGTAGCCCGCTACGCCGGCGATGCACGCCCACCGCGCAAGTTAACTAACATTTCCCTCCGAAATGCATGCAAACGACGCCATTCGTCGCGAGTGGAAGCTCCCCGCCAGACACGGGAGCGATTCCCATAATCCGAGCGAGGAGCAACGCGAAGAATCGCGGAAGAAGAAAAAGCCGACGCGCATTTGGATGCAACGTCCGTCGAGGCTGTTACGAGCGATCAGATAGCGAGGCGGTAGCGCAACCGCGACGCCGAAGCTTCCGTGTGTTCGTGCGAGTTGCGTAGGCGTTGTGCGCGGTTGTGCACGCGCGTTCGCGGTGTGCGTGGCATGCATTCGTGCATCACACGCGGCCACACGTGGTTTCTTTCGAGCGACGTCCAACCGAGGCCAGGAGGCTCACGCACGACCGCCACGAGGAAAATTTACTTCACGCGGAAACAGCCGCGAAGAAGATCCATCGGGCCCTCGTTCTCGAATAACGGCCACCACGGTATTTATACCGGGTGCAGGGCCCTTCATGGACTCCTTTATCGGGGGTCAGGGATCTGACAAACTCGGGGCGCAAGCTGATGAACGTGCCGCGCGCGCGATAACGGAGGAAGACGTATTTAATGCGTTATGAGACGAGATGCAACCTACGCGGTCCAACATGGCGAGAACGCCGTCGAGGGAAGCGAAGACGGGACGAACCGTTGAATAAGCGCTTCTCTCGTTTTCGCGAGATACTCGTGAGAAGCGCGACGGATAGAGTAGGCCACGAGCGTGCAGGAAGTGATCAGCGATTAGCTCGAAACTACGTTTTCGCATGAATGGCAAAGGGTTGAATCGCTTCGTGCCACGCGTCTCCGACGTTCTTTCGTGATAAATAAATGAAGAACGAAGGGAGGGTCCGGGCGTTCCGAAAATCCTCCCTTAAAGATGCCCGGCTTGTACAAACGAGATAGCGAAGTCTTTAGCCACGGTAGATTTCTTGAGCATACAGACACGAAATGCACGAACTTCCCGTAGATTTCCAAGCGTGATTTCGTCCCTTAAGCTGCGGGCTAGAGCCCCGTGTAATGCGAGACGACTTATAATCAAAGTTAAATGGAGCAAAAATCGCTCTGCGGGAAACACGCGATAAAGGCGCGGTGATTCGCGGTCGGGTATACTTGTTTGCCGTGCGAGAGGTGAGATTCCGTCGAGAGAGTTCACCCTGTGCAGTCGCCCGAAGGAAAAGAACAGCACGGAGAGGAACAATCGAGCAAAAAGAAAGCGACGGGCTGGACTTCCTCTCCGTCTTGTCCTCTTCGGCTAAACGGAACCGTGGATCTCCGGAGACCCTCGACCGAGACGGGCCTCGGCCGTTGTTCTTTCGGATCGCACTCGGATCGCTCGGGAACGATAATGAAGTTCGCCAATTTATAGTATCGAAAGCTTTAAAATCAGAAACGCGGTACTGTTACAAGCATCGGGCTCGTCTTACGTACACGGTCGTCGTAACCGTCGTGGCCCCGGAACCTCGCAGCTCCTGATGCCCGAGGTGATCGTTCCATTTCATTTCCTACACTCGACTCCTCTGCTCGTTTACATCGGGCCACAGCTGATACTATAATAACACTGTGAATGATCTAAATCCGATTTATATCAAAGAAGACAACGACTAACAAAAGATTTCTTCTGTAAAAAAGAAATTTCATTCTAGCCGCTTCATTTGGTCCACAATTTATTCGACCGTTGCGTTATCTTCGCGAGAAAATACCTTCGATAACAACGACGTTATCGAACGGGAACCCGGGTATTGTATTGATTATAAAAAATAAAAATAAAAAATGAATCCTTCGCGGATCTCCCATCGCGTACCGATAAAATCGTATCGAAGCGAATGGCGCTCACGTCGATAAAAGACCTTTATTCCGATCAGTTACGATTACCCCGAGCAGAAATCCAAAATCGGATGGAAGTTGCTGAACGACCCAGTAACGGTCCTTCAGCAAACGGCTGTACAAGTAATTCAAGAGGCAAACGGAACACGATAAAGACAAACGGAACGACGTCCCATAAGAGATCACCGAAAGAGCCAATTACAAGCTTTTATTCCAATCGCATTTCTGGTTAACAACACCTAAAAGTGGTGCATACCCAATGGCTGTGGAATACAAGGGTCGCATACGGAAATCCAGCGCGAAGTAGACTTGGACCGAGTCCAACTAATAGTAAACATCTTGACATCTATATTTGAGCCGGTCTAAATTGCGTTTCGACCACCCTCTCCCCGCCCCTGTTCGCCATTTTCTCCCCGTTCGGAGCGGATCTCCTCGTCGACTGCGCGTCTTGGAATGAAATCAGAATTTCTATTTGGTTCGTTCCAACCCTCCCCCGTACTCAGCCACCCTCTTCCACCCTCCTCCACCCTCCTCCGTCCCCGCCAACCCGTATAACCGCGTAATCGCGAGTCCGTTCTTTCTCAGAGACCACGTGCCCATACGATTCCATCGATTTTCTCTCCTTTTCTATGCTCTGCGTGGCATCCCCCGACTCTGTTACGTCTGAGCCACGCAAACACTACTCCCCTCATAAACAGACTAGTTTTCAAGAATGTTTAACGTCGAAACCATTGTATTAGGTGACGTAGAAAATTCTCAAATTTTTAACGAGGTCAAGAATGAAAAAAGGACTCACCATGTATACTCAATCGTGCCCAATAGAAAGAAGCTCTGTGTGCTTACCTATAACAGAAGAAAAACAGAGTTGGTACGAGAGCATATATAACAAAAGTAACAATCACTGTACATACACTTTTCAAAGTTTCACAGTGATTCTCATCATCAAATATATAAATACTCGATCTTCGCTACCATAGAAGTATAAAGCTCCCGATTCTAATACCAAATAAATACTCGATAGCTAACAACATAGGTCATCGTGTTTGTTTCCACAAACTCATTCGATGCCAAAGAGTTTATTTCGATCGTCGTATTTGCAAAGCTGTAACACACGAGATCATCGACTTTTCTTAATGTCTAGATTAATCTCGCACCGGCCAGTATAGCTAGATCCGCGCGAAAGCGTTAATTCGAAAATATCCTCATAAATATCGCCGTGGAAATTTGTCCGTGCTCGTCGCAACAGGGTCGGTCCCGAAGTTTTGATTTACCGTCGCACGTGCGTGATTTAACATGTAAATTTATGTGGCTGTGATTTAACGATAAATCTCCCGACAAGAGGGGGTCCCCATGAGTCGCGCGTTTCTGAAACGTACCGATACATTATTTCGGCGTTAGTCGCCGATCGTGCCAACGATCTCGGGATCGTGCTCAGGTTCCGGAAGCTAAATCGAATCGGTCTTTCCGGGCGCCCCATACACGCATAGAATCTCTTCTAGCCGAATTGTAGAACTGTTAATCTTTACGCAATTTTTTTTATATGTAAAATGTTTCATTCCGAAAGCGGTGTTATCGTTTTTGAGATACTGGTAAATTGAAGATGTTTTAGAATTGAGAAATGGGGGATCGATCTTCGAAAAAGATTCTAAAAAGTATTATGTACCGTGTTCCTTAAATTTTCTTCATCTGAACGTAACATCTTCGAAGCTATTGGTCTCGATAATGAAAGCTCGAACAAAAAATGTTACGTTTTCACACGAAGAACGCTCCCTCTCCGATTGCGTCGTATTTCTTACGACACTCTGTACGTAAACGGTACAAAACACACCTCATTACCAGTATCATCACGTCGTATCGTTGGAAGAGAACGAAGAAGCATAAATAAATTTGAAAACGGTTTTCTTCCCGCGAACCAATCGATGCGCGATCCGATTCATTGGAAAACCTTCGTTCCGCTCGACGAACGCGAAATTCCGCGAATCCAAGCCCGCGAGCGTGGCGATAATATCCCATGCTCGTGTTGGCGATAGTAATTACATCCTCGGAGCTACGGTGCGCCAAACGCATACACGGAGACCTTGTGCACAGGAAAACTACCAGAGTGAAGCAACTTTGCAATAGTATGTCGCGTTCGGTAAATCTAGGATAGTTGTTGGACATTTTTTCCTAGTGTAAAAGCTTCTTACGGAGGACTTCTTTACCGTCAGGCCTTGTCCAAATATAATTATTATTAATGCTCTCAGTCAAATAGATCCCAATCCTTATCGCAAGTCAATACAAGCTATTTCCTCCAATTTACCCAATACCTTCACGGTCATCGAACGGTTCACCTAAACATTGAAAATACCTGTACAAAACCAACCATCGATCTTCGGTACCCAGTACTTAGTTAAAACGACCAGAGGAATCCTCTGGCCAACGCGTCACAACGATCAGCTGCTGTCGTTCGTCCAATATACGCAAATGAAGCGAGATACGATTGACCCATATCCACGATGGGTGGCCGGCTTTCCCACCGTGGTTGGGCACCACTGTCACCGAACAAATGAATGAGTGTGGGCGAACACGTGACTGGGGATTCAAGCATTGCCCCACCTTTGTCGTTCACCCTCTCCTCTCTGCCCGTTTCCACATCCTCCTACGGCATAAATGACTCTTGGCTTTGCCTCTCCTGTATTATACTCCGGACATGTTCCATGTACGTGTGAGTGTGCATGCTTCCATGGCTAGGTGAGGCTAGAACAAGGCCAGTGCCTGCGCTGGAATAGGTTGCGATAGGTGGCAACCAGATGCTGCGATCGCGCAACCGGGACTCGTTCAACTTCCATAGGGTCCCGACTTCCGAGGTCGGTCGATGTACCTTGCCGAACGAGCTGATAAGAACCTTGCATTTTTCTTTGCCGACGTTCCGAGTCTCCCTGTCAACGCCTAGATAATGCAATCAATACAGTTCCTACGAACTGGAACACCCAACCAAGTGCCTCCATAGAGTTGCCGGCTAACACAGCTTCCGAGGAAGAATGTTTTCTCGACGTTCGCGCTACTTCCATTCTCAGCTCGTGACGTTAGGTTCGTAGAGATTCGAAGGATCTTCGCTGCATTGTTCGCATCTTTGACGTTTACTTTCTAAGAACTTCTTCATCACGTTTATATCTATTAACGACGTAATCGGGATGCGTGCTTGTTTCTTTACGTTGAAGATCTTCGTGAGTCGTTTACTTCGTATACTTTTACGCGCCATTTAATTGAACAACATCTAGGGAACACTTTCGACAAATTTCCCCCTCGTATCCCTCTCTTTATCTCGTATAATTACCAGCAAGGTTTGCCGGTTCAAAAAATAAAATCCCTTTCCAGGTTGAACGAGGAAAAGCCGTTATCTCTATCGCCGTTCAATGGAGCGAACGTTTGGGAATAAATTGATACCCGAGTGCTTTCACTCGTAATCTATTATTCGAATAAAAGTTTGCTCGTCTCTGGTTTGGACCGAAGAGAAATTATAACGTTGAAGTTTTCCCGTGGCCCCGACAGATATACAGCGGGTGGAACGCGTGTACCCGACTCGCGAAACTCTTCCAACCGTGCAGACGAGTGGTCGTACACAAACTTGCCTGTATTAAGAGCACACGCACGTTCCGGAAAGAGGACGCGAGGCTCGTAAAAAACGGGAGCCACTCGCTCGGAGGAGAAGAAGGGCGGGAGAAACTTGGGGCGTTTAACTTTTACGCGCCCTACGCGCCAACGCTACCCGCTCTTTTCGCTCGCACGGACGCGATTTCCTCCGCGTTCCGGCCAGAAGAAACGAGATATAATCGCGAAATAAAAACTACAAAGTGTTCAAGTTTCCCGCCGGCGGCGATTTATGAACGAAACACTCGAGCGTCCCCCGATTGCCGTGCAACGTGGATTACTTTTAACGCGGCAACTGTTCATCGCTGACACGGCACGCGTTGCGAATAAAACGAGTGTGTTGAACGCCGACGTTACGAGAACACGACTCGATAGGTGCGATAAGAGTAACCGTTGCGAATAGGGTGATGAGATTTCACCTTTTGATCGTGGGACATTTTTGTAGAAATGCTGAGTAAAAAGCGAAAACTTTGCTTGTCGTACTTGTAAACAGTCTGGCTATTAGTATTCTCGACTGGAATTTTCAAGAATTTTTTGGGGGAGACGTGCAATACCTTATACAAAAATTACTGATGAATCTAAACAAAAAAAAATCCAAAGTAATTCCTGAAAATTGACGCTGTAGACTAACACAACCCTTTTCATATAATTTCGAATTTTTCCCGTAACTTTCATCCATAATGCATAAGATAACGCTATATATTGTGGATTCTATATATTGTGAAAGTAGAACAATTTTTTCATTCAATGTCACGAGCTTCCTCTTGACACTGCCATTGGCGTCATCGATGAGCGGCAATTTCCACGTTTGCCTGGTCGAAACGCGGAAGCAACCGTCGAACTACGACCTCGACAATGGAGCCAACCGCATCAATTGGGCGGTTTTCCACGCCAGTGTGTATCGTGACGAGATATTTTAGCTGGTAGTTTCGGTGGTTCGTGAAAAAGTGCATCTGACGGGCCGCGGGCAATTAATTTCCGCTGCGAAGAGACGACCGTTGCCTCAATGCCGCGTATTACCACGGATTGGCGTTTACGATTTTTCCGAAATTCAGGACCAATTTGGGCCGAACACCAGCGGCTCGATCGTGTGGTATTTACATTGGAACGTCCCCTTCTCGAGGCGATCAAACTGTACGTCGCTCAGCGTCAATTGACTCGTTGATACCACGCGTCAATTTTGCTTATATCGAAATAAACATTTGGCGCGAACACTTTTCCTTTACAGATGAAACGAACTCGTTTTCCCTAGCCAATAGGTGTTTATTAAAAATATTTGAAACTTTTTTTACCATCTCGTGGGCAGTATTCGGTAGGAAATTAAACAATCGAGTACGTTGATATTCAAGATAAAGTTTACATATAAAAAAGCACAAAGTGTAAAGTGGAAAAGTGAAAAATGGAAAGTGGAAAAGTGTAAAGTGTAAGTGTACTCCAACTCTTGCGTGTGCGCGAAGTCTGTACATTTTTGTAACAAGTTTCGTAATAAAGACTGAAAACTGACGTCCACTTCTCGCACCTCGCAGGCTTTTTATACGGTTGCATTCTATTTATTATCGAATTCCGTTCTCACGTGTATGCAGAACCAATTTCGAGGGCGAGTTTTAAAACAGCGAAACTTGTTCGAGTAATTCGCGTTCTCCCGGATATTTATTCAATTGAGTCGCAAGCACGGGGTGTACATTACGGCCCGATCCAATTAATAGTTCGATTAAACAAACCGATAATTGCCTGAAAATGGAATATACCTAGCTGAATATCGAGTCCCCCGGTTCCATTATTCTCGCTCGCGTACGAGTTCTACGCTTTCTACGGTGACAAGGATTTATTCTTACACAGGCGTCGGAACAGAAGGTTCGAAAAACGGAGTTTGCGAGCCGCGAGCAACAGGGACGAGTTGGCATAACGATTTAATGACTATAATTTCGCGAACGTTGAACTCCGTTTCCTCTTTCGTGTCCCATTTCAGAGCCCATTATCTTCCTTTGGTTGGGTCGCCGCGAATTTATAATTTGCATGTTTCTGCAACGATATTCCAATTGGGTGTCGATACACGCGTTTGTTTCGATAATTGCGTCGATCATGGTACCAAGGGAACGTGTCTTCGGGTCTCGATTACGACCCAAAAATGTGTGCTCGAGAATAAGGGCGACGGTTACGTCTTCATTCGTTAGCTAATT